AACAACCATTGGCACACCGTGAGCCATGAGAGCCGTGTGGATTGCTGAACTTAATGAGCCACTGGACACTAAGCTCCTCTTCAGGGACCGGAAACTATTTCGTGTGGAGAAGAGCGCTAGCTAAGGCCTTAGGCATTGGCTGCGACCACCAGAGGTGTGAGACAACCTGCTACCGGCAGGGACTGAGGGAGGCAGGATGGGAGCATGTGTCCTTTGCGTGTCATCCAGGCATAGAAAGGGCACCAGAAGAATCAACATTCTCTGGTACTATAGCCGGAAATCCCAATCCTTTTATCTACCCTTTTGTTTTTTTTTTTTTTTTTTTGCGAGACAGAGTCTCACTCTGTCGCGAGACCCAGGCTGCGAGTGCAGTGGTATGATCCGCGCTCACTGCAACCCCTGCCTCCCAGGTTCAACGCGATCTCCGTGCCTCACGCCTCCCATCTCCTCGCCTCAGACTGGTCTAGCAGGGACCTAATACGGACACATGCCACCACACCCTAGATCCTAGATAATTTTTGTATTTTTAGTAGAGATGGGTTTTCACCATGTTGGTCAGGCTGGTCTCAAACTCCTGACCTCAGGTGATCTGCCCGCCTCAGCCTCCCAAAGTGCTGGGATTACAGGTGTGAGCCACCACGCCCAGCAATCCTATATTACCTCAGAGGTGATTGTATTATGGCAACAAAGTCAAGAAGGGAGCTTGGAAGTTGGTGTCTCTTACTGTTCACAGTCTGTGCCCTCAGGAAAGTTCCTTAACCCTGCATTCCTCCTGCTCATGCCTAGCTGACCTTCACCTAGACCTGCTGTCCGGTGCTTTTCAGCCACACTTATCTGATGGCACGAACTGGCTAGAGGACAGCCTCTTCGTCCCTCATTGATTCTCATCCCAATATGGTAGCACCAGAGTGTTCAACCTCAGATCAAAGAGGCAACCTGATGATTTTAATTTCAGTGAAAGCCACATCACAACTTTCCAGATAATTTAATTTTTCTAGTGGCCTGCCATTTGTAATCCAAGCTGGTAACTCTGGTCCAGAGTTATTTCAAGAAGGAAAGTCTGATCTTCACCTAACTTAAAATTCCTGGGATGTAGATCTTTGTTCTGTGGGCCATCTCTTACTTGACCAGAGTTAGGATATACCAGCTCAGCAGAAAGCAGATCAGTAAGCTTTGAAATGCAGCATGAACCTGAGTGGTGGGTTAGCTCACCACATCTTACCATTAAGGAAATAGTCAAAAGCAGGAGACAACCCACATCCCCTTCTAATTGTGTTATCTGTTGCTTCTTTCTTCAGTTGCATCTATATGATATTGAAAGCTGCTCTAAGACGATGATCCTCAACTTCTGCTCCTACGTGCAGTGGGTCCCAGGAAGTGATGTGCTGGTAGCTCAGAACCGAAACAGCCTGTGTGTGTGGTACAACATTGAGGCACCTGAGAGAGTCACCATGTTCACTATTAGGGTATGTTGGACACTAGGGGCCCTCAGATGTGATATTGAGCTGATTAATTAGAGCCATGAGGAGACTCTGAAGACTACTTGGTTTTCTGTGTCCACCACCCTTAATCTCTGTGATAGAATTGGCAAATGAAGCTTAGACTTATGGACTAACACGCAGAACCATCCTTTTTCAGATTCCTGACATTATATTAGACCCTTGGAGTATGGGTTCATTACAGTGGCCCTGGGAAGTCACCAGGTCGTAATATGGAGATCCCTCTAGGCTGGAAATCCCTGATAGGAGAGGCAGTTCTAATGTCATCTCCTTCTATGCTGATTCTCCGTTATAAGCCATGCAAAGTGCCTTTTTTTCTTAAATTACAGATCAGATCTTCTCTCCTATCCTACCACAACATCACACATAGCCGGTAGTCTTCCAAAATCTGGGGGGAGCCAGAGAAAACAAGAGAGGCAGGCTCCTATGCTAGGCTAGGATGACGTGTGTGTATGGGTAGAGCGCTTGATGCTTTCTTTTTGTCCTTTTCCATACCTTTTTTTTATCTCCTTTTTGCCTCATTTTAAACTGATTAGGGTCTAAAATTTATTTGTTTAGTTCTTTCTTTCTTTTTATCTCTCTCTCTCTCTTTCTCTCCTTCTCTCTTTTACTCTCTCTTCTCTGTTTTCTTTTTTTCTCTCTCTCTCTCTATTCTTTCTTTCTGAGACAGGGTCTCACACTATCTCCCAGGCTGGAATGCAGTGATACAGTCATAGCTCATAGCAACCTCAACCTCCTGGGCTCAACCAATCCTCCTGCCTCAGC